TACAACGTACTGTTCTTACGTTCTGCTTCTTATCGATGCATTTTTAAGACCATAAATTTTCACTGGGCAAGATTTTACATGCATAATCCAAGCGATGTCTTGTAACTGATTCGGTATTGCCATGCTAACTTTTGATCTAGTGACCTATAGAAGGTGGACGCTTGGCATCAGATTTTGATGGCTAATCTGCAGCTACTCAACCCAATCCATCTTAATTTGGGTTGTAATAACGTAACATTTTGATGCAGCGAATTAGTTGGTTGTTGTAACGTTATGTAACTTTAAGCCATATTGTTTTCAATCCTCACTTGAATTCGCATTGGGTTGTAACTGAGACAGATTTATTTCCTCATTGAGGAAGCATCTTTCTGAGCTTTGCAGTTTCCCCGGCTACGTCGTTATTTTTTAACTTGAACTACACATAAGAGTCTTACAAATACTGACACCGGAACATATGTTGCGGAACACCCGGTGTAATGATTCCCATCCGCCGTAGATTATCGCAATATCAGTGTAGTGTAAGTTACTATACTTGACAACTTTCGTCGAGCAAATTCGGCATCAGTAGTTAAGAGATGGCATTTCTGGTGATAGAATCAATCTGTTGTAGCTACCTCAGACGATCAGAGTTATATTTTCTTTCATTTTAAATAAAAGAGTATTGTAATTGATTTTTTCACATTGCCGTATCACCCATGGAGCTTTCTAATGTGTGTGATTTCATCTTAAGCTAACTCGTAGAACCGTGTTTTTTATGCCTAGAAAGGCTTCTGTTGCTTTAACCATGAAATGCAGGCGACTTGTTCATAATTCTAAAGAATGACTGCTCGGGATTTCACGTTTTTTTTATTGATGCGACACAGTACATATGATATTCCAAAAGGACGTTAAACGGATAGAAATACAAGATTAGAAAAGCAGAAAACCACTAATTTTTTGTATAAAGAAGGTACACTTAAGCAGAACAAGAGTGACAGCTATACATATATGAAGATGCTGACGAGCAGGACTAGTGTGTTGCATTTACAATGAATAATCAGTGGTTTCCTTTGAGTACTTTTGATTTAGCAAATTGTGTATGCTTTAATACGTTCGCGCATAAACTACTTGATAAAATTTTTAGCAAGCTTTTTCGGTCGAAGTTATCACTTCCTCCCAGTACCTACTCATGCAGAGTCAGTGATGCAACTGCAGACAGACCAGATCCAGGTGTCACTGGCGGTGAAGACCGCACTTTCAAACGGTATGGTGTTGCTTGTAAACACGGAAAAACGCCGACTGGCAGTTAGTTTAAAAGACGGTTCGTTTCAGGTATAAATCACTCACATTTAAATTGTCACTTATCCTTGTAATAGGTGTCTATGATGACCTCGGCCGTCAGCGGTTTATCCGAAGCGTATCTTTTAGACAGTCCCCATGCGCTGAACGACTTGTCTTGGCATCAGGTCATCATCGATTGCGACCAGGACGAATGCTATGCGTCGATTGACGGCGCCCAGACCTCCGTTATCAAGACCGTCGTTGCCGGATATTGGGCAGCGACCGAAAATCGCGGTATCTACATCGGTGGTGGTGGTGGACTAACAGGCAGTCATGATGAGGCTATGACGAATTTTCGTGGCTGCATCGCAAATCTGACGCTCAATAAGCGTGATCTTTTGAGCGAAGTTAATTATTCAGCAGAAGCTACCTCAACAAAGTAACTTCAAGTCAATCTTATTACGCTATTTTTCAGCTTCATGCACATAAAATTTGGCCTCATCATTTTAACGCTGTATTTTAAAAACTCAACGACAAAACCCAAGGCAAATGCTTGAGTTTCTTAGAGATATACATTAACTGATTTGATATACAAGCTGAAAGTCTCCCCTTCAGAATTTGCGGCGCTTATACATTTCTAAATGCTTCATTTATTATCCAAGGTATATATGTGATATTCATATATTGACGCTACTCAGATATTTTGTTATTAGGTGGTAGAAAACAGATGCTGTGTTCAGTTTGTAATGGCGCTATAATTATCCAAAATTCATATTCATTGAACTTTAAATACAACGCATGCCCTCACTTTAGCCAGCTGGA